ATTAAGAAGAACATACCAGTTGCGAGATAAAAAAATAAACAGAATGGCAGAGCAATCACAGCAAATAGTCAGCAGGAGCAGACTTAAGTTCTCAACAGAACACTTGAAAGGGCTCGAAGAAAACTAAGAGTTGTTTCAGAAAGCACAGAAGAGAAGAAGAGAGTAGAATTTTTGTGAAAGGACTCAGTATTCGAGTGTGTAAAAGCCTGTGTTTTTGTGCAGAAAAGTCTGTGAAAGCATGTGAGAACCTTGTCTGTTTAGTGCAAAAGGGCAGGCCTTTTTATAGTGCAGAAGGTGAGTAAGAAAAGGGTAAGAGAATAGTTTTGAAATCAATCACAAGCTGTTTCCCTTTGGTTAAGGGATTTGATTCAAACGGGCAAAATAAATAAGGAAAGGATTTGTTTTAAGAATCTTTTCTAAAGCAGTGTAATAGGGGTAAATACAAAGAGCATTATTTAAGGAAATAGTTTAGTAGTACACGGTTTAGGTTAAACAAGGAAAGACAATCAATCAACAGCCAGTAAAATCAGGATTCGAATCTTAGTGTGAATGAATCCAACCAGAAAAAGGTGAGAAGGGGTTCAATTTAAAGAAAATCAACAACACACAATAAAACCTTTTTTAAAAGGAACTCGGAATCAATCACGAGCTGGCCAAAGGCCTTTTGAAAGAAGGGAATTTGTCATATAAAAGCATACAGACATGTGAGATAAGAGAGAGTTGTTGTAAAACTAGCAAGAAATTAGAGTAACCAAGAAAGTTAGGTTCATAGACTCAGAATGAGTCTGAAAAGAGAGTCAAGGGTTCTGAATGGAACCCTAGTCCAAACACAAAGTCAAGCTCGCCAAAAAACCCCCAAATACTAGGGTTTCTGACTCAAATAATATGCATAGACGAGAAAACAACAAATAGAACAGGCTCAGTAGTCTCTTTCAGAGACTTGTGAGAAAACAAACATAGAGAACGACAAGTTTGAAACACAAGGAATATACTTAGGCAAAGCTTGTCACTCAAACAAGTTCAGAAAAGAAAAGCGATACAGGTTTAGGAAAACAATAGATGAAACATGCTTAGGGTTCAAACAAAGTTCAGTAAAGGCAAGCAAGGAGCAAAAAGCTCAGTAAAAATACAGTAGAGGAACATACGAGATAAACATGTAGAAGCATGCTTATAGAACCCAGTAGGGAAGAACAGAACACAAAAATAGAAGAACATGCATCATATGGCAATCATAAGAACACAAGAGAAAAACTCATACGAACATGGTACAGACAGATTCACACAAAGAAAGGAAGAAGAAGAAGCGTCGGAAGTTATTTTGAGATTTTTCGAAAACCCTAAATTGAAAGCAAACTAATTTTGAAAAGAAAATTGGGGAAAAGCTTTAAAACGTTGAATATAGCACAGATACACCAGAGATCTAAGTAAATAAAAGAGGAAGGAACCTTGAATAGCTTTAGGGTTTCTCAGAAACCCTAGAAATGAGAAGGCTTGGAAGAGGTCTTGAGTCAGAGATGGCCATGGCTAGGCTTCTAAAGCTCGAATACGTCGGAGCAAGGCCGGAAAGGCCATAGAACCACAGATCTGAGAAGATCTGAACGAACGCCATCGAGGTCAGACCTCAAAATCTCGAACACCCATGGCTTAGGAGTGAAGGAAAGTGAGCACAGGCCGTCCATGGCCTGAGAAGCCATGGACTCCGGTGAGGTAATGGTCGGAGAAGACGAGGGAGGCGATTAGGGTTTCGAGTGCTTGAGAGCATTTTGAGAGAGAAGAGGTTTCAGAGGCAGTTGTCTGAGAGAAATGAGGGTTAGGGTTAGGGGGTTGGTAGAATTAAAAAGGAAAGGGTCGTTTGTGGCCGTTGATCAAAATGATCAACGGCTTGGATTAAAAGGATTTCCGGGCGGGTTGGATTAAACGGGTCAAGGGGCTGGGTTTGAATGAATTGGGCTGGTCCAATTGAGTTCGAAATTGGGCTGATTTCAGGCTGAAATGGAAATGGAATTTGGGTTATAATTGAAATGAATTGAGGCTACAATTGAAATAGCCAATTTTTCCTTTTATTTTACAAAAAATAGTGAAAGATGTTTTAAAAACAAATTAAAGGTACCGAGTCAATAAATAGTGTATAAATATTAATTTAAAAATATTGAGATCAATTTTGTAATTACAAAATGCTATTAAATCTTAAAGAGGCTAGTATTGCAATTATATGCAATTTGGCTTTAAAAATACCAAACGAATTTGTAAAAATGTGCAAAAATCATGCTTGCTAAATTTTGGTGTAAATATGAGAATAAAATAAAATTATTCTCCAAAATGGCAAGCTTTGGGAATAATTATTGGATTTTATGGTGTAAAAATAGGCCCTAAATTGGTTTAAAAAATCATTAAAAATGCCAAAACCTTTTGGTGTGCTTATATATGCACATATATATTATTTTGGAAGTGTTTTGGGTATAAAAATACATAGGAAAAAATTGGGTATCAACAATATCAACCATTATAAAATCCTTCAGTCCCCAATTCATGTTCGGTTTATCTTGTTCAGCACATACTGATTTTTATTACTCTGGGGTCTAACCTTTCCTCCTGGTAATCACTTTGAAGTCACCAACTCATTTCTCGAAATAAGGATATGACTTTATGGCTTATACTCTTTTATTGCCTCAAGGCCTGTCACCTCTTTTATTTTCCATCACTTGACTATAGACTCTGTCGTCGTGTCATATTTTTATTTACTATTATCACACATATATCACATCTTACTCATGATGCTTCATTTACTCTCTTCTTATTCTCCGGATAATATCTTTATCTATCACTTTATTCTGAAAACTCTGACAAAATGTTCTTTCCCTTTTAGCTCCCCTTGCTTCATCTCACTGGCTCTTCAAAATGCCTAACATTCTCTTTTTTTTTTACTCGGGGCTGGAGCCATACTAATGGAAATATTTTTCCCTTCTAGGATCCCACTGCATATCTTCTAAAATTTCTGAATGTTCTAGTACTCATATCTGACTGTACAATTCTAGAGTTCACCATATGGGTATCTCACAAGAAGCTATATTACCACATTTGCACTATCGTTCGGAAATATTAGTTAATGATAACAATCCATCCATAATTTTGGGTTACTCTAGCCCGAACTAACTCTTGATATCACATTCTTCTCTTACAAATATATTTGTTAGCTCCCATTGGGCACAACTGAGATGGGTGTGGTCAGTTGTATATATCACCGTTAATATTGAAGGTAACACTAATACTTACATTGCTCTGCCTAAATTGTAAATAATGATAATCTTCATTAACTCGGTACCTCGTACCCTTCGTCATCTTGCTTGTTTTACTTGCTGAAACTTGTGTCTACTTTCCGATTCACTTATTACTTTTTACCATACGAGTAGATAGATATTCTTGCCTTAGGGCTCCTTATCAAGAAACTTACACATCTTAGTACACATATGATCTGCTGAAGACCTCATAGTTAGTCATTATAAGAATGATGCAAAATCGAGTTGCTCTAACTCAACTCCTTCGCATCAAAATTCAATCTCTTACCAACTGTCTTTCTAGATGTAGGAATCATTGTATTATGAATAAAATAAAATTTAGGAGTTTGAATTCTTACAATGAGCTCTAGCAAACGATCTAGAACAAGAAGAAAGAGTCACAGTCCTAAATGCCCTGTAGCCTCCTGCTTATAAGTGTGGTGCACAACACACCCATAAACAAGACTCTACTAGACACGGCTTGAAGACTTCCTAGGACAGAACTGCTCTGATACCACTTCTATCACGACCCAAACTGATGGGCCGCGACGGGTACCCGTTACCTTACTCAACCGAGTACCAACATAACGTATCTGTCATATCATAATACTATGGGTAAATGGCCTAGAAAGGTCGTCATGAGATAACAAAAATAAAATATAAGGGAATACTAAATATTGGACGACCTGACATAATAAAAACTTATACATGTGACATACGTGCCTATAAAACCAAAGTGATCACTCATACACTAAACATATGCCGATAAGGCCATACAATTTTCATATACATGACATCTGTCTACAAGCCTCTAAGACTACATAAAATCATAAAGGTCGGGATAATGCCCGCCATACCAATCAAAACATATCCAAAACATACTGACCAAATAGGCAACTCCGGAGCAAGTGGAGTGCACCAACACCTCCGCTGAGCTGATAGCCTACTAGGAAGATTGTCAACCTATCAATCGAAACCTGCAGGCATGAAACGCAGCGTCCCCAGGCAAAAAGGACGTCAGTACAAATAAAGTACCGAGTATGTAAAGAAGGAAAGCATAAGCAAGAACTGTAATATAAGGAGAGAGAGAGGAGATACAACTTGTAACATCTGCGTGCCTCTGGGGGCTACTGACATGAAATGCATAATATATATATATATATATATATATATATATATATATATATATATATATATATATATATATATATATATATATATACACATAAACTTTTAAAAAAACATACGCCTTTGTGGGCATCATCATCAACTTCATATCGTACTCGGCCTCAAAGAGGACTCGGTAAAAACGTACCCGGCCATCATAAGGCTCGGTAGAATCGTATCCAGCCACGTGGAGCTCGGTAAATCCAACTGATCAGTGGTTTCACAATAGATGTCGTACCCGGCCAACTATAGTGCGGCTCGGTAGAGTAAAATAGATACTATATATAATGCATGCTAGACTCATGGAATCACATTCTAAACCTTTCGAAGTGACATAAGGTCGTTGCACCTTCGATTAATATTATGGATATCATACCATCAATATGAGCTTGTATAGGATTCAAGGATCATACATACTTGCTAAAAATAACTTTATAAGGAAAGAACAACATGGGAAACCTTAGTTTCTAGGAGTAGATCTGCTGTGAAAGAGCATATCGTTTATGTTCGTCTCATCTTAGATCATGCCAAAGGAAAGAAAGAAATGCCTTAACATACCTTAACCATAGTGAGTCTTTAATACCTCCCAAGCTACTCTTAAAACAAATCAACTCAATCTACCATTGCATAAGGAGATTCAAAATCAGTGTTGAATAAAGGCTAAATCTGCAACATAAACTTGTAGCTCGTTTATATAAATTCGAGCAGCATCTCCCCTATAACAAGAGCCTCCTCCAATATCATATACCAACAATAATTACCAGAGAAATCCAGCAATACATAATTATCAATAACAAGACATCATAAAACAACAACAAGTCATAACTATTTTACGACGAGCGACAAGCTCCAATTGAAATTTGTATACCCCATATCATCCCTTATAGACTTTTAACTTTAACTTAATAGCATCATAACATGATAATGAATTCATTCATCAATAATTCCATCCTTATACCATATATCCATACCAAAGAAAATGATCCACAACTCCAATTATTCTTAATTAGCAACTTTATTCATTAGTTCATGTCTAGTTCATCCATTTAACTCAAGCGATGTCAATATAACCTTAAGCACCTGTAGGAACACAATATAATTACCTCCTACAGTAGATTCAAGTCAAAGTCCATGTTGTATTTAGCTTACAACAGCCCAACACACCCCAATCAATTCATACCAAAAACAACGACTATAGTAGTGTCCAACACCCCGAAAATATTATAAACAATGACTAATCCATCATTTCAACATTATGTGGTGTTTCTCCACACCATTTATCCTCCCAAAATCCATTAAATAGCAGCAAAATATACAGCCCAAAAGCTACACGAAACAGCCCACAAAACAGTCCATTACAAATCAAATAACTCGAACTCACGGCTTCCGATCACTGTCCCGTGAATTCTAAATATTATGAAATAAATTAATAAATCTTCCTTGATGTTTAAGATCTTGAAACCAGAAATTAGAAATTTTTATTAACTTCAAAATACCTTCCAAAACTCAAATTACAAAGAAAAAGAGAGATTATATAGCGATACTTACGTCGTGGGGATCGTTCTTGCGTTATTACTTCTTGATTTCGTGCCCGGGATGATAATATTATTGGAAATACTTGTGGGGAGCTTGAGGGTGAGTTTGGGGGTGTTATTTGGTCGAGGTCTCTGGAATAATGGGGAAGGAGACGAGATTGGGATGTAAATATCCCGTTTTTCCAAAAGTAAAAAAGGTGCCACTTGGCACCCTCGCATAGGTCCTTCTTCAGACGCTTATATCTTTTTATCCGGATATCGTATGAATTAACGGTTAAAAGTGTTAGAAAATACATTCCAAGACCTTAAATTTGATATATAATATGCCCCAAAAAGACCATATATAGCTCACGAAATTTATTTCTCAAAAAGCTCCATTACAAGGCATATCCTTAGTCGGTTTTTCCGCAACTTAAATCCGATTTTTCTCAAACTTTATATTTCATAAACAAACATCATATATAGTCATATCACGGCTTTAAACACATTTAAATCATGATTAAAAAGTCACATATTCACCTTTAACTTACTTAACACTTCGGCAGACCTTTCTTCTCCTTGTAAAAAGACTTCATCCTTTTTGAGCTTACATTAGATAATCCTATAATGATAGTGACGTATGAAGTACAGAGTATAACAACATGTACCCTTAAAAATATTCGTCCTTGAATATTAATTCTTAAATTCCTATAAAAGAAATGGGATGTAACACCATCAAATCACTTTATATACCTTTTTCAGAGGATCTCATTTCTGAGCTTCCATCAATTGACTTACGCCGTATTTTCGTGTACAAAACATGGGTTGTAACAGAAATATTCGTCGACTATATCTATTATAATTCTAAATATATATGTGAGGATCTTAAATTTGAAGAAGCAATTCAAGTAGAATTAGTTTCATACGAAAGACAAGTAATTTTGGCCTGCAGTTCTAACACTTGAAAGCATAAAGTCAATGGTGTGTGCAATCATCTTTATCTATCTTATATGTCTAGCATGACATGAAAACTTGATATACATCTCAAGTCCATTTATATGGCTTATATGACTTAACTTATATGACAATCCCCGAAGGATTTAAATTACTTTAAGCATATACAATTTTTGGTCATGAAGTACCACATTCTAAGTGCAATTTGTGCACACATATATCTTGCTATAACTATAAGCATGATATCGTCATAGAGAGAATTTTTACCTCTACATAGATATTGAAAAAGTCATTCCATGACATTATATAAAGAACATTACATGCAATATATTTATTCAAGTTAATATGATTGATTTGTTTATCAAATATCTACCAATGATTTTTTGAAGATGGTGCACAAGATTGTAATGCGATGGCTTAAGGATATGAATTGAGGGGAGTTAATACGCGTTGTACTCTTTTTTCCTAACAAGGTTTTGTCCCACTAGGTTTTCCTTGTAAAGTTTTTATCGAGGCAACCAAAAGGTGTATTTCTAAACATGCGTACTCTTTTTGCTTCACTAGAACTTTTTCCCACTGGATTTTATTTTAATTAAGGTTTTAATGAGGCACATTATCTGTTGAATATACATTTGGGGTGTGTTATAAATAGAATTGTATTTAAGGTGAATGCAGATATTTTAGAGAGGTTTTAGAGATTTTACTTGGTGGCTAGGTCACTCTTTCCCTATAAATAAAGAGGTCATATTCCATTGTAATTCATCAAAAAGCAATAAGAATTCTCTCTTACTTTGCAATATTCTTCTTTATTGTTTTATAACATTTCCGTTATTATAACTTGTGTTAGGAATTAGTAGGAAAATCTTTATATTCTGAACATGAATCTGGTCTTTCTTGGAAAAGTTTTCTAATTTATTTATATTTTGGTATAGTTAGAAGCGGAAAACGATTTGTTTCCTTCTTAAAAAATATTTTCTTCGTTTATTTACATTTTGAATTTTTAAAATTGAAAGCAATTACGTAGATTCCTTCTTGAAAAGGCTTTTTTCTTTGTTTACTTTTAGATTTTAGAAATCGAAGACAATTTGATTCTTTCTTAAATAGGTTTTTTCTTCTTCTTCTTTTGAGGAATTTCAGGAAATTATTTTAATATTTTACTTTCTTTTTATTTATGTTGTGAATTTTAGGAACACTCTTTTTCTTTAATATAAATTAATTTTTTTCTGTGGAAAGTACCAAGTTCATTTAATTACATTTTACTTCTTTATAAAGAATTATAGCCGCCAATTTACCTCTAGACTTTGAAATTAATTTATCTTCATCCATATATTGCCGTCTTATAAATTCATTCTGCATTTTAACAAGTTCGTTTTTTCCGATTGCTCACAAGGAGAACAATAAGTGACTTAGAGCGTGATTGGATTGGCTTTTAAGCTCTTTTTAGCTTTTTTCAGTATTTGTCAAAGTTAAAAAGTGTTTAAAATAAGTTAAAAATTGCTTAAAATAAGCCAAAATTTTTGGCTTAAAAGCTATTTCTACTGAAAAGCTACTTTTTAAAAGCCAATCCAAATAGACTCTTAGTATTTTACGAATTTTAGCAATTCTAAATGCCGTAAATCATATTACAAAATCAGACGAGAATGAAAATAAAGTCCTGTTCTATATATTAATACCGGTATCAATAAGGGTTCAAGTCCCTTTATCCCCCAAAAAACTATTTAAATCCCCAAATATTTGCCCGATCCCCTTTCTTTAGCGGTTTCAAATTTCTTATTTTTCTTATTCACTTTATTCTTTTAAAAATGAATTTGACCGTAAATAGCTTTCTCTTATTACAAGTCTTGTGATATATACGATTCACATAAAAATAAATTTCTTTGAGCAACAAATCCCTAGTTGAATGATTCTCTAACAATATCATTGCTCATACTGAAACTTATAGTATGAGCTATTAAACCCGTAAAACTTCTTAAAGCTTCAGGACCCGATGGCCTCCATCCACTATTTTTTCAACAGTTATGGGATGACACTATATAACTGTGTTGTGACCAAAACTTGCATGGATGCATTCTCCTCTTCCCACATTCCTCCTGAAATTAATTCTACTTACATCACCCTCATTCCCAAAGTTAACAACCCATAAATGATCACCCAATATAGATCTATCAATCTCTGCAATATAATTTATAAAACTATCACACAAATTATAGTTAACCGTATCAGGCCACTACTAGGGAAAATTATTAGTCCAAACCAATGTAGCTTCATTCAAGGGCGCAGGGCTACTGATAACAGTATTATTGTCCAGGAAGCCATTCATACGTTCAACAAAGCTACGGGTAGAGCAGGCCATATGATGCTCAAAATTGATCTCGAAAAAGCTTTCGACCGTCTAGAATGGTTCTTTATTAGATATTATCTTTAGCTAGTCTAAATTTTCCTCCTAAACTAATATTTCCTTATAATGTCTTGCGTCATAACCTACTCCATATCCATTTTAATAAATGGCAAACCATCCAACTCATTCAACCCAAATCGCAGAATTAGGCAAGGTGACCCTCTATCTCCTTATACATTCATTATTTGTATGGAATCTTTGACACGTTTGATAAATCAAGCTATCAACAAAAACCTTTGGGACTCCATAAGAATTAGTAGGGTGCCAACAGAAATATCGCATCTACTATTTGCCGATGATTTAGTACTTTTTGCAAGAGCTGGCAATAGGAATACTTCTACTATTATTAATATTTTCAACAAGCTCTCAACTGCTTCAGGTTAAAAAATTAATTTTGCCAAATCAAAAGTTTACTTCTCCAAAAATGTGCCCCTAAACACCCAAGATATTATAGCCAACTCACTCAACATATCCCCCTCGTCAAAGTTTGGTAACTACTTAGGACTACCTATCACTAATCACCATTCTAAAAGCACTGACTATCAATATACTATCGATCGTATGAATAACCGTCCACAAGGACGGAAGGCAAAAATGTTATCCCTTGCAGGGCATACTACTCTTATCACAACAGTTTTAGCAACAATTTCTAATGACACAATGCAAATAAATTTATTACCAAAAAATTGTATAGAAAAAATTGACCGTATTGAACGCAACTTCCTTTGGGGTTCCATTGAACACAAAAGAAGAATCCATCTAGAAAATTGGGAAGCTGTTACACTTCCTAAGACTAGGTGGATTGAGAACCCCAAAAACTAATGGAAAAAACTCAGCTCTACTTTCTAGCCTGACTTGGCGTTTTTTTACAAATCCATGCCAACTTTGGGCTAGAGTTTTAAAAGGGAAATATCAAACACGCTATCCTCAAAATGAGTTTAAAATAAAACCATCCGACTCATACATCTGGAAAATATTATCAAAAATATTTCGACTTTTAATAAAGGAATCGTTTGGAATATTGGCAATGACTCCAGTGTTAGTCTCTGGGAAGATAATCTGATTGGGTCAAATGACTCCCTAAGGTCTCTTATACATGGTCTCCTCCCGAAATTAGATATAACAAAAACTGTCCAAAGTATTATCATTCCCAATAATGAGTGGGACCTTTCGGAACTATCCATGTACATTCCCATGAATATAATATATCAAATTAATAATACTTACATTCAACATTCAGAATACAAAAAAGACTTCTTCTTTTAAAAAAATACAACCTCTGATTTATCTCACAAAATCAGCTTATCATATGTAGTTACAAGACTCCAAAAATCTTCACCTCCCATTTTCTCCACCCCATCAATGGGTGTGGAAAACACATGCTTAAAATAAAATAAAATGCTTCCTATGGCTACTCTTTAATAACAAATTACCTACAGCGGAAAATTAATACCATCGCAATATTATTAGATTAAACACTTGTACTTCATGCCCAAACACTACCGAAACGATTGACCACTTATCCATAACATTATCAAAAGCAAAATTATTATGGGATTTATTCAACATACAAATCCCTCCAAACCAATTGGAACCTACAATCCTCTCATTCAATACAACAACAATTCAATGGTCTGTTACGAATAATAAAAAAGTACCATTACCCATCTTAACTCCTATTATTCTTTGGGCTATCTTAAAAAATAGAAATCAAATCCTTTTTCGGACCTCTATTAATCCTAGGGGTGTACATAGGTCGGGTTAGTTCGGATTTTACAATTACCAAACCAAATCAATT